CAACACATGATATCTTCGAGCGCGCGACGTTCGCCGCTGACCTGGGATAATTAAATTCACATGAACGTCATTAGATGCTGGGAAACACCGCATAGAAATATTGTGGCCGGGAAGTGCCACCCAGTTGACCTATGGTTGTGTGACTAACGGAATCAAAGGTCTGCGAAAGAAATTCATGACATCTCCCCGTACCACCCGGAAATTTAATTTACTTACTTGATTCGCCTCCATGACCAAGTCTCGTACGAGGAATATGCTTATGTGTCGATGAGAGTGAGGCATTTGACGGAGACCTAGGGAGAAGCCGATGGCATTGATGACCTTGGTGTTTGTGTAGACAGTTTATGTCTGGAAATCCACTAAGATCGGCGTTGGCTTGTTGATGGACTCCATCAATCGACTTTGCTTTCTCTTTCTCGGCATCGAGAGCTTTACGAGACATGATAAAGTCCCCGCGAGTGTCCGCATTGGGTTGAACCACAGTAAAGCCGCTCGACAGTCGACTCATTGAGAAATCGTTCTCATGCCAAAGGAGGCAAAGCATGGCTCAGTCCAAGGTGAATGAATATTCATAGCGACAAAGAGGAAAATGAAAGAGAAAGTGCACAGGACAGGGACACTTCGGGGACTCTGTGTAAGCAGTAATGCTATTCTTCTTTTCTATACTTTTCCCCAGGCACATCCGACTATTCGTCAAAAAGGACCGCCCCCATTATGAAGACGACCCCTTTCGGAGATTGAAGTTAAGCGGAAGACCTCTGACACACTACTCACGTGCGGCAGGTGATGCTGATATATGCCCAATGAAGACAGCGCAAGGGCCTCCGCGATGGTGGTCGTAGTTCTTGACTCTAGTTATGTATGGTGTGGCAAGCCGAGGCAGAAGGAGCTACGTCACATTGCTGGGGTGGTTGGCGGGGATCCCCTCCCAATATGTAAGCGGTTGTGCTTGACGCGCGAGCGTTCCGATCGCTCTGGTCACAGGCATCCAATGATAAGTCAGACTGAGAATTGACACGGTCCGTTATAATGTGAGCGCGAAGAATCAGGATCAAGTAAGAGAGGATTTCCCGTTGTTAGGTGAAATAGAAACTGAGCCACTGGCATTATGCGATAGACAAACATGACGGGTGGCGAAGAAGACCAGTAGTTCGATATTGATGCCCTAACTCATGGCCACCTCGATATGAACCTTGAATCAACAGTCGGTAGCTTTGACAAAGAAAGATCCCGTATGATACATCCCTTGTGATAGAGTGCTTTTGATAAGTTGTGTGATGATGATTCCAGCGGATGTAAGACTGGACCATTTTGCGATGCACACACTTGCACACAACGAAGAATAAAGAGACAAGTGTCGTGAAACGAGGTGATCGGATTATCTCCTCCATTATCCAGGGGAGCGGAAACCGGTTGTTGTGGATATGCGCCCCGGTGATTGGTCGGATGGCCGGGGTGGGCAGGTTTCGGGGTCCTTATGTGATCGTTAGAAAACCCACGCGCAGGCCACGAGAGCATACTTGGCACATCCACGCGAGCGAGAAACCCCATCTTTCCACAAATATTCAACCTTTTCCACATCCTCCATTACTTGTTCCCAGCTATCTAATACCTTGACTCTTGCCACACCACTCTCTCACCATCCTTGTCGCTGTTGGTCAACTTGTTTACAGGGCAGCCACTATGTGCGGCGCGATCTTGGAGGAGAAGGCAATGCTCCCACACTCGGCCTATCCTCGACACTGGAGACGACGGAGCGCGGACGTCGGTGGACTTCATTTAGCCACTGAAAATTCTGGCCAAGGGCAAGGATGGATGGGAGGGTCCTCTGACCAAGTAGAGTGCGTTAATGTTTCTTGCTCGTCCAGTAAACCTAATCCTGAGTTAAACTCCACTCAGGACTATCTTTGCCGAATTACTCAGCGACATGTACACTGAGACCTTGAATTCTGTCAATGATAACAGTCTCGACTCGTGCGTTGCCTTTTCCACCTTGTGGGATATCATCCGGTCTCCAACTAAAATAACACAACTAGTGTACCCGCCGATCTTCCAGAGTCTGTACGATCACGGCTTATCTGGTCACTCGATCGTTGGCACTTTGAGCCTCACTTGCTGCCTGATGAGGAGGTTCTCGCATGCACTTTGATTTTGTTTGAAACTCTCTTTAGAGTTGAAGGAATGCAAGACGTGATCCCACTTACGATGCGTGAGTATTCCTTGCTGTATCTACAGGCAGACGACACCTTATGCCTCTTCGGAAAGAACAAATAACCTCCTTCATCCATCACCTACGGCGGATCTACCGATACGAGAACACCTATCACAACTTTGAACACGCACTTGATGTGCTCCAAGCTTCGCAATCATACCTGAAGTCTGCCGGGATGATACCGTCTCCCACGATACTTTTCGAACCAAACCGGTTGTTCAAACCCAAGAAAGCATTTGACAATGGTTCTCTGATTACAAGCCTTGGTTTGCGAGAGTTATTCGCTCTCTACGTAGCCGCCATTGGCCATGATGTTGGACATCCCGGATTTACGAACGGTTTCATGGTTAGTGCTTCTGTCCAAACCTCCCATAACTATCTAAAACAATGGCTGCTTATAATTGCCGTGTAGAAAAATGCAAAGACACCCTTATCACTCGTCTTCGATCATACTTCGGCTCTCGAGCAAATGCACTGTCAGTTGTTATTACGGGTTATGAAGCACCACGGATTGGGTGTACTGTTAGACGACCCCAAGCATGGAAGTCATTTCCGAAAGATATTGTGGCAATCTGTATTGGCAACAGATATGGGCGTCCACGAGGCTTTCATGCAACGCTTCAAAAAATTGATTGATGGAGAATCGGCGTCGCTGTGCTATCGACAAGTGACCGTCTGCCAGGCGATCTTGAAGAATGCAGATATCAGCAACCCGGTAAGCATAACCCAATTTCGAAAACGGCGAAACTGACGAGTGAGATAGACCCGACCATTCCTTGTTTCGAAACATTGGGCGAATGCTTTAATGCAAGAGTGGACTGCACAAGCGCACTTGGAAGAGGAATACCAACTGCAACAAACCGTCATGTCGTCAGATGATCCATTGAAAGAAGCAGAATCCCAGATCTTCTTCATCGGCCGCTTCGCAAAACCATTACTGGAGCTCACTGTCAGAGCGGTACCCGAAATGAATATGTATCACACTCATTGCAAGTTGAATCTGCAAACCTGGAACAAACGTAAAATTGAACTCATCAAGGAAAACGCGAGCGTCGTAACTACTCGACAGAACTCGCCTCTTTCCTCGCCACCACCGCTGTCCGCTTCCTCCTCGATATCGCCTCTATCACCTCCCATTCCGAACTCTCCACGCCAATCAGATTCTTATCTTACCGCTTTCCCACTCACACTACCAACATATCAACCGAAAGGAGACGAATCCGTCCACCCATACCCCCCATCCTCCACTACACGTTCCTCAGACCACGAATCCCAACCGGAATCGCCCTCTGAATGCGAGTCCGTTACATCGTCGATGTTCTCCCCCATCTCTGACACGTCTTCCTCCCGATACCCATCCACCACGAGCTCCACTGGGAATGGCCACATCCAGACCCAAGCTCAACGAAATACCAAAAGCCACCTGCTCAACGTTCCGAACAACCATGCTGCCATCCGCAATGCGAGTAAGATGGGCAGTATCGGGAAGCAGCAGCAATTAAAGAAGAAGCTCAGCAGAAATTCGTGGTGCGCCACGTCAACGACGTCAACGTTGAGCACTGGTCTGGCAGCAATGTTCCACTCTCCACCTTCTCCAACTTCCACCTCGTCGTCAACTAGTTCTCCTGCTATCCCCGCTCTCACGAAGTCCAACGTGGATTCCATGTCACCTCCATCAGAGTTAACGACCACACCAGTCAATTCACAAGATCCTACACCCCCTCCCTCAAATGGAGCGTTCTTGATGAAGCGATCGATTACGCTACAAGTATCGCCATAGATGACTATCGACACTAGGCGGGGACCGATGTTAAGATGTTGTGGAGGAGATGTGGTTTCTCGACATTGCATCGTATGGTGGTGGTAACACTGGAGACTGAGGTCTGGTTGCGAAAATCCGACGCGGAGGAAACATTATCAAGAGCGTGGGTACGCCCTGGTGCGCTTGGAGACAAGAGGTTGAATCATGGTTGGAACCTCATCTACGCCGCTGTACGATTGCGAGTCAAGAGCTGTCAACCAATCTCCTCAATTCTGCTTTGGAACCCTTCTCGTATCTGTGCAACCGAAGGAGACGAACTGGTCCCTCACGACATATTCTTGGAAGACCAATCTCCTAGGTTCCATTCAAGGCCAAAATACGCTTGATACAGTCAAGGACTAACATCGATGCAGAATACGTCCGACGTCGTGCTCCCAGATTTTCTCATTCATTCTTTTTTGTTTTTTTGACCTGCAGCCGTTTTCTTCCAGATTTACTTTCTCTACATTATTGAATTTGCTTTTCTTCTCCTCTCATCATCTCAATATGCCCTTCTTCTCCTTTGGCTACTACACCCGCGGACTAAGGGCGTTTATCCTTGCTTTCCATACGTCTCACTTTTGGCTTTCGCCTGTGCTTCCGCTTCCCTGACCATCTATAGATCCTCACCATCCTTGACCGTTTGAACATCGAGGCGGGTATTCGCTGCTTTGATTGCATGTGCTTCCATCATGTATCAATTTGTCATTTCTTCGCAATCGAAATTGTATCCATATCTTTTACTTGGTTGACGGCCGAAGGCAGTTTGTAGTCAACTACACAATGTTGTGAACACTCGAACTTCGACCCAAAGACACGCATAAGTATAGTATATAAGCCACCAACGTTCCCCAGGCGCTTCATGTTATCACGAACGACAACCACATCCCGGCATCAAAACAAACTCCACGCGTCAAATGCGTAAAGGTCGTCGGCCTTCAAGCTTCAAGCCTGAAAATGCAACGAGCATGCAAAAAAAGTAATAGTAGCCCACCGCGAGGGTCGAACTCGCAGCCTTCAGATACCTTCGAAGTGGTTCTGTATCCCGCCTCTCTTGTAAGAGTCTGACGCTCTATCCGATTGAGCTAGGCGGGCATTAAAACTTTTTCCCAAACATAGGTCAATTAGGATGGATACCATCTTGGGAACTCCCAACACACATGTGGCAGACATAGATCTAGAACTTCAGACAGATTTGTAGTTCCGAGTGATATTTGTCGTTCTGAACGCATGCATGAACTGGAAGTGGGTTACTGGCGTCTCCTCAAGGCAAAGTTGACTTACCTGACTGGCTTGATATACCTTACTGGTTAGACAAAAGCCTGTCTGTTCAAAGATGCAAGTGCAGGGGATAAACATTGTTGAATACCCCTCTCGTATGCTGGGCTCGTGAAACGCACGTCAGCTTCGCAATGAAAGCTATCATCCATGGCAACAACGCCGACGACAGAACCAATCATGCAGAGAGTGTCTGCGCAATTTGGTGTCCGCGTTGACCCATCGCCGAACAAGATCGGGATTCGTTCTGAACGAAGAAGATACTATGGGGACTACCGCAGTCCTTTCTTCATAGCCATGGAATACATTAAATCGCACTGCAGATGTGTAGGAGTGCTACCCAATACAGGTAGCAGATCGCCATGCATCATATACGTTTGAAAGGACCGTAGAAGCCAGAAGGAGAAGATATATCGGTAAGGTTCGATGGGCGCTGCTGATTAACCGACAAGGAGGAGTCATGATATATAGAAACACCACACGTCGTGACGCGGTAGCAGCAATAGGGATCCGAAAGGAGGAGATGCGCAGAATACTAATCAACAAAGCCACTTCGAGTGCTCAAATCGACTTGATTCAACGACAAAAGCTGCTCACAAGAACGTCTTGTCTTTGGCCATTTGGTGGAGTAATGAGGGTGGGGGAAGCCGTGGACATAACGAATTTCGATGCAGCTCTGGGAAGGATTCTGTTGGGGATCGATGAGGATCAGTTATTGCAGTATCAATAAGAGCTGGAGGAAGAATTTAATTAGTACCTTTCACAGCAAATGACCCCGCATGACCCCAGATGACCCCGCATGGCGCAGATGGCGCTCATCGATGAGGTCCAAGAGGCGCCAAGTCCACCGAGAAGTGTTATCTTATCTGTTTGTGTGATATCATGTATGAATTCAACTTCTCCCTTCTATCACAATTTCTGGCGTATCAGTCAACTGTCGAAATTATCACACTAAATGACTTTCAAGGAATACTTTCCCCGGTTTTATTCATGAAGTAAAATCTCGGCCACTTGCAGCATCGATAGTCATCATATTACATGTCCTAATCCGATCCTATATCTTGAGGTGAAATCCTACATTTTTTCAACAATGACTCGTGCAAAGATCAGCTTTGAAACTTGAGGTGCCCTACTCAAAAAAGAAATCATAGTAGCCCACCGCGAGGGTCGAACTCGCAGCCTTCAGATTCCTACAAATGTAGTGCTGAATACCCGCATTCTTAAAAGTCTGACGCTCTATCCAATTGAGCTAGGCGGGCATGAGGCAGTGAGTGTCAGAATCCGATTACGAGCTGACCGGGTACATTCATGGTGAAAAGGTGTGTTGCGGTGCGCACTATCGGCAAAGGAAGATGGAGGAGGAGGAGGAGGAGGAGTATATTATACAGACGGATGAGTAGAATATGGGTAAGTGCTGACCTTCTAAAAATCCAGCTGTCCCCGCCACTCGAGGGATCCTCGGAATGATAAGGGACACAAGAATAATAAGTTCCACGCTGCTGAAGGATGCTGAAGGTCGCCAAAATCGTACATGCTCCTTGCCTGACCAGCTTTTACCACTGGCGTCCTGACTGTTCTTGGCGTAGTACATATTCGCCGTACAATGACTTATTTTGGGACGTATTTTGGAACTTGCACCCTGACTTAAATTCGAGGAATGCGCGTACTATGTAATTGCTCGTGGAAGACTTTGACTTCCCATAATCCGTTCCAAAAGTATGTGATTGTTCTTTTCTGGCTACGAAAGTGAATTACAGATTTTTCTACATGGTTTATACAAATTGTTTTACAGGATTTACTGTCCAGATAGTGTCCGACCGGCGTGTACATTGTAATGTTTGGTCCTCCCAGTTCTCATCTCAATTAGTCAAGCTCGTCAATCTCAAAACCTTCAAACCTCCGCTCATACACCTTCGCATTCTCATCGCGAATCACCAAACCTGCAACCGCGCCGTACTTTCCTAGGTAGCCCGAATGCACGACGCCATGCGCAACCTTCTTGACTTTCCTGATCCAAGAGCCGAAGCTAGGGTCCCGAGCTGCAAGCGCCTCGAAGTCGAAGTCAGCCAAGTCGCGCTCGAGAACTTCTGGAGTTTCCTCTCGAATGGCGAGACTTGCAAGCTTTACTGCTGGAAGAGCGGCCTTCTTTATTTTCCTGAACCATGAACCGAAACTGGGATCCCGGGCTGCTAGCTCCTCGAAGTCGAAGTCGGCCACGTCGCGCTCGACAACCTCTGAAGCATCTTCGCGAGGTAGAATGGGAGCTACGAGCTTTGCTGCATCAATGACTGGAGCGGCAGTCTTCTTGAATTTCTTGAACCAGGAGCGGAAGCTTGGATCACGGGCAACAAGTTCGAAGTCAGCCATGTCGCGCTCAACAACCTCTAGAGCATCTTCGCGAGGTAAAACAGGAGCTACGAGCTTTGCTGCATCAATGACTGGAGCGGCGGTTTTCTTAATTTTCCTGAACCAGGAGCGGAAACTAGGATCACGGGCAGCTAGCTCCTCGAAGTCGAAGTCGGCCATGTCGCGCTCAACAACCTCCGGAGCAATCTCGCGCGATAAAACAGGAGCTACGATTTTTGCTGCCTGGATGACCGGAAGTGCTGTCTTCTTGACTTTCCTGAACCATGAGCTAAAGCTGGGGTCGCGGGCAGCGAGCACCTCAAGGTCGATATCTTCAGAACGCCTGATGAGCAAAGAACGGTCAGCTTTAGGTAAACAAGATAAATAAAGCGAAGGCGTAATCGTACGTTTGGAAATTCTGGTCCAGTGAAATTGGGATGGCAATGGAAGGGGCCACGAGAAGTGCTGCGATGACGAAGGTGTTTGATAGGTGAACCATGGTGAATTAGGTAGCTGGGTTTGGTGATGTATATGAGTGTGATAGACTTTCTTTGGACGTTATCCTTGAGTAAGGTCTGCGATCAACGCGAGCTCGGTAGTAAGGTGTGGAGACTAGAGGTGGGAGTGAGACCAGCTGAGGAAACAGAAGCATTTCGCCTGAGTCTTATATTGACAGAGATAGGCGGCACTGGGCATTTCCGAGAATGGCACCTGCGTTGGTGTTCCGTCGAGGATCGACAGGTGATCTATTTTTGGACTCTTGCGGCAGCACGACTTTCATTGCGATTGCAGAACGTCCGCAAGTAGACGTTTCCAAGGAAACTCTATGGGAAGAAGTATATGTCTCTCAACTGTCTGATTTTGCGCAAAGAACCTAATTCGAGAGCACTGCAGTGCTCGATCGAGGGTGGAATGTTTGTCTATTCATTCCTACAGTTTGGATCATATGCGGACGACTGCAGGATGATCCACATCACCCAGAAGTAGAACAGTCCAGTCACCTCTTTGCAGGGACAAAGAGCAATGGCAGGCCACCAGAGTTGAAGTTTCGCAAGATAGTCAAAAGACAGACAGATGCCGGTCAAGTGCTCCGACGTTAAATGAATGTAGTTCGCAGGGCGATGGGCAACATTGGCCGTTTTCTAATTCCTCTCTATATTGTTCGAATATATGCTTAGCGGAGTGGCGAACGGACGCAGCACGAGCTGCTTGTTTATGTTGAAGTCTAGACTGCTCGAGCTTTGGCATCACGGTGCCCATCGAAAATTGAGGGACCGTGGAGTCTCGCCTGAGTCGACGACGAGGGAGGTGCGCATCGTGATAGTACTGATGATCCCACCTTATTGCGCGAATGCCAAACAAGATAGAGAATAGAGTAAAATGGGTGTAATCGAGAACGTTTCCCTGCAACAGACTTGGCACGTCTGTCTTGATTCCGGCTATCTAGAATATACTATGCTTGATGGAGGTTGTTTCCAGGTTGTTCAGGATATCGGATCTACAGAGAAGAGAGAAGGGAGGAGCGAAAGTGCCATGGTGTTATACATATTAGATGATAAGATATAAGGTAAAGGGATATTGTCGATGGCGTTGAGGAATTGATCCGTATCAAAATACTCGACGGAAGACGCGAGTCCTATTTAGTAGTTCAGCCATCTGGCAAGAACAGCACCGAAGGCAAGAAGACATAAAGCAGCAGTGGCTGCCGTTGTCTTGTGCACGGTGATTGTTGCTGCCAATAATTGAGGATCACTGGCCTCGTTAATATAATGACGCGCGAATAAATCATTCTGAATCCAGATGACCTAAGATGAACGGTCAGCCTTTGCGACTTCACACATTTCAATGGAGGAACAGTAGGCTTACCTTGTTTGCCGCCCTCGTGACAGCATTCTTCGTATCAATATCAAGATCAGGGTGTGTGATAACAGCATTCACGAGGATATCCTCGACATAGCCAAGAAGAATAGCGCAGTGGATGTATTCCACCCTCAATGCGGGTTTGCTTTTTCTGCAAAACAAGATTAAGTACATCTCACAAGCAGAAGGTCAAAAATTATTTACCGATGAGAGAAACCAGCTTCGCCGGTATGCATCAGCCCAACTTTGTCCAGGTATTCCCAACTCTGCTCCTTGCTATAATCCATGGTCACAAGCTTGACGAGGTAACCCGCAAGAAAGTCCTTGCGGAATTTAATTTGGGGGTGGTTCATCGAGAGTTCCGACAATTTCGCGGGTGCCTCGCCTTCGTATCCCGTTTGCCGTGGTACAAAAGATTTGGCGGTGATGTCGAACGAGAGTAATTTCTCGTAGACAGTATCAACGACAATAGGCACGAGGGGAGCGACTACATCACGGGCCGCATGTAAAGCTGCTGCATCTTCCTCAGAGAAGCCAATGAATTCACGCAAGTATTGCACGCGCGAAGTGAGGTCGTTCAACGAGCTAGGAGAAATATGCCTCATATTGGCGAGATGTGAATGGTGGCTGTGACTGTGTGGACTTGGTGTGAGGTTCAGACTTTCTCCGACGACCAAGGGTTTTGGTGCAACCTAAGTGGTTCATAGTTTGTTTATATCCTCCAAGGGCGGTTGAATGATCTTTCCATATGACGCCCACATCCGAAATGTCCCATTATACAGGGACTCAAAACTTCAGAATCGGGGGAAGTAGAAGGACCCGGTCGGAAAATGTGCGAATGTAAATCTCGGCATCGCGCGCACTAGACGGGTCGAGGCCAAACCCGACTGTTGACCCAGTTTTGTATCAGTTGGAGTTGCAGATGGTGAGAAAGTCGATGCAAGTCGAGAGTTTAAGGTCCAGGCTCTTTATTTCTGCAGGCCCCTCATTGAAAGGCATTGTAGGCCATGTCAGCCTCTGGATCAATTCTCGATGGCACTGAGAAATCGGGGTCGGGAGGGTCAGGAATGAGCATAAAGAGACCGTGCGTCGGGCCAAATCGTAAGAAGGTTTACGACTTCGACGGAAAATGTATGTTGATTTATCATGCTTTCGTGAAGTTTCATGTGAACCAAGTGCTCGAGAACCCTCTCGCAGAGATTTTTTGTTGTGACTAAGCAAAGCTGAGATATAATAACACGCAACAACAACTGACTTAAGTTTCCAACTCACAGTCAACTTACAGTCGTTATTCCATCTGCGTGATACTTACTGGTAGGATGGGTAATTAAGTGTCGTTGATATAAAACTCGCTATAGGACACCAACCTGGCCAGACTAAGGTCTTCAACGGATTATGCTGCCAGCTGCGAGAACTCATGTTATACCCATTATAACCATTCAGAATCATACGGTCGAGACTTGCATGATCTTCTTGGCGACTCAGCATTCACGAAGATGCTGCAGGGACACCCCATCTGGTCTCCTAACATTAAATCCAGTCTCTCTATGTGAAGACGTCCCTGATATGCTTCTTGAACCTGGCTCTGACGAGGTGCTCTCTGGACTCTTGTGTTCGACTCTCATGTTGAAGGAACTCAGGTGACATCTTACAATAATTAATGGTGATCATCAGTATTGCTGGATTCCCAGAAGATGCAACATCGCTCCACAATTATCTTTGATGAATACATTCCTGAATTCCTCCCCCAACCCTTGTACGAAGTCACTTCAAACAGTTCATTCTTGTCGATTTGATTCATTGCGCCAATTACCGTGCCCGTAATGTGATGGAACTTCTTAGGTTTCGTCTTCAACAAGATACTGATCTTTCTCTCAAAGAGCTCTCAAAGAGGAAACCAGCATACACCTTTCCTCCCCTCGCCCCTTCCTGTCTAGTTACACCTGGGGCTTGGACCTGGTGTCTACGCTATGCCCATTGAAACGAGGAGGTAGAGGAGGTCGCGCTCCAGTGAATTTTCACTTTTCAAGAGATTGGTCGAGAGGAGTCCGTC